AATATGGGTTATTCCTTGGCTGACAAGTTCTAGAACAGACCCATCCAGCTAGACTGGATCAGATGGGTAGAAATAACTGGGAGAAGCTGGTCCCTCAGCCAGCACTTTGAATTGCACTCGGGAACCCACTCACAACCAATGCAGCTCACAAAGCAGTGATGTTACATGTGTTGAGTACTTGACACCATTTATCAGCTGAAGCTTCAGAATGATTTTTAAGGACCTGCCCCCTCACCCCCCATGTACAGCACATTGCAATAACCCATATTGGGTACTTGGACAAGTCAAGAGATCATGAGTGGCCATCAGCAGAATGTTCTGATCCAGGAATGGGCACAACTGTTGCACAATGCAAAGGTGTGCAAAAGCCCTCTTAGCCACAGCTGCTACCTGCTTTTTCATCAGAAGTTATGGATCCAAGAGGCACTCCCAGATTGTGCACTGGCATCCACTGGGACAATGCCACTCCACCCAGAACCAAAGGGGGAATAACCTGCAGCCTGAAAGGCCCAAATACCTCAAACCACTCAGATTTCCTAGGATTGAGCCAAAGGCTACCGTGACCAATTCAGGCCCCTTACACTCCAGTTACTTGGATGATATCACTCAACCTGAGGCAGATGCACCAAATGTGCTCTACATTTCCCAGTCAGCCTGCAGGTGAATCCCAGAATTACTCCCTCCAAGGAGGGGCCAAGTAACCCGAAACAGGTCTGCTGGGCAGCTATCTGCACACATAATAAGAGTGGGGCCCTTATGAGGAAGGCTCTAATAGAGGCTCTAGCTTGTTCTTGAGCATCCTCACTTTTTGTCATTCACCAGCAGTGCACTAGGCATCTGTTCACTCTCGTCATGTCCCTTCGCTCATGCATGAACCATGGAGAGCTCTGGGATCCATGGGAACAGAGGCTGCAGCTATTCTTGCATTTCAGGCAGCCATCACAGTTTTAACCGACAGTGTGTTGCAGAATTTCTGCAACCACACCAAAGCTCCTTCTGGATCCAATCTGCCCCATCAGCTGTGGCTGGCCGATCTAATGTAAAGGCCAACTTTGTAAGAAAATACATATAGATATTTGAAACTGAGCAGAAAGGTAAAGCTTACCTTATCTTTAAAATCTGTATGATTCTGAAGTATTGCTCTGTGATATGTAGCTGTCCTTACAAAATCCTGCATCATATTTTGTTGTTGAGATAAGCATCCATAAAACTAGAAAGAAAAGAGGAGAAATGTAGCTGCTACAATTTGCCTATAGCAATATACAAAATAAGAATAAAGTCTTTTCTGCAGAAACCCAAGATAGTGCCCTAAATTGCAATAAACCTGGAGAATATTGGTGATGAAAAAGCCATAGCCACTGAATTTTTTTANAGAGAAGAAAGTTGCTTAGGAAATTCCTTTTTGTCTTATGTGGCCGAGTCTGGATTTGTCTCCTTTGACTCCACATGTTTCCAGCCATTGCTCATTTGTGGGTGTAGTATTAACTCTCCTGCTTGATAAATCTTTCCATTCTGGAAATTGTTTGTAAATCTTACAAACTTGGCTGGAGCAAATGAAAAGGATAGTGGGCTTGGCCATTCATTATATATGCATTCAAATGAATATTTTGTTTGTAATATGCTTACCGTCAGAGGTGGGTTTCAGCCGGTTCTGACTGGTACACCCATACTGGTTGAAAGAATTTGGTGTGCCTTCCTGTACCGGGGCTTCTGGTGGCCCGGAACCGGAATGGTCCCTCCCCTGGCTTGCCCCTCCCCCCTGCTCTCCCACCAGCAGAAGCCTTCCGGGAGGTTTTGGCTGGCGGGCGTGCAGAGGGAGGGCAGGGAATCTATGCAGAGGTAGGAAATTGCATGGATTCCCCACCCCCTTCATTGGAAACAAGGTGGCTGTCAGAAGAGAGATCAGCATGCACCCGTTGGCTTGTCCATTCGCTTGTCCAATGAATCCTCCCCTCCTGTTAATTCTTCTGTTTGAACAAGCCACGTGGGGCATGCTCCGTTGCTTTGACAGCCGCCTCATTTCCAATTGGGGGGGAGAAGAAATCCATCTTTTCCATCCCTCTCCATGCATCCCCCAATTGGAAACAAGGGGACTGTCAAAGCAAGGGAGCGCGCCCTCCATGGCTGTTCAAGCAGCAAAAGAATGGACAGGAGACAGGGGTGGGTATCAATCGGTTCGCGGCGGTCCCTGCGAACCGGTTGGTCGCCGAACCCGGAAGTAAGTAACTTCCGGGAACGGCGAAGGGCCCACCTGCACCCGCGCGTGCCCGCTCCTTACCCGGTTTTGACGAATTCTGCGCTTCCACGCATGCGCAGGACGCATACAGCGCCTGCGCGATCCTCCAGCATAGCACAGACGCTAGTATGCATGCATGCACCGCGCACATGCACGCACACGCCACACACGTGCACGAGGACGCCGCCGGCCTCGTTCCAACCGAACCAGTTGGAACGGGGCGAGAAACCCACCCCTGACAGGAGAGGAGTTCCACATGGGGCTTTTTAAACAGCTGAACTCCGCTCCTGTTCCTCAGGCAGGCCAGGTTGGGAGTGGACACCAGGCTGTTGCTCCTCCTGCCGCCACTGCTGTCAGTGTGACTCTCGTGAGGGGAAGAGAAAAAATAATAAAAGGCTCCCGCCATGGAGCGAACCACCCCATTCCCCCACCCAACAGAGCTTTTTTTCCCCTCTCAGCTCAGCTCTTCTTCGCCCACCAAAGCGCTGCCCCTGCTCGGCTGCCCTTGCTGTTGCCACGCATTCCCCCTCTGCGTGCCTGGCCAAAGGCCTGAGTGGGAGCAAGAGATGGTGGCGCGGGGCGGCGGTTACTGCTCCTGGGCTCGCTGTGGGTAGCGGGCAGTGCCACCGCCACCCTTGCACCGCCTCAGCAGCAGCACCTCCCACCCACAGAACCAAGGCGGGGAAGAAGATAGAAAGATGTGAAGCCACAGACTCACCCCTTTCCCCCGCCCTACAGCTCACCTCCTTGGGTGGGACCAGGGTGCGTGCAGAGTGAGTGGAGTTTGCGATCAACTTTAAAGTGAATGGGGCTATTTGTGACTAAATAGGACAGAGAACATAGAGGAATGCAAGGGAACATGGAGATAATCTAGTCCAACCCCTTCCCAAGGCAGGAGTTCTTCCTTCTCTTTGAGAGCTGTCAGTCTCAGACATGAGGGAAATGGTGTGTGTGTGAATGAGAGAGAGAGAGAGAGAGAGAGAGAGAAAGAAAGAATAAGAAAGAGAAAGAAAGAAAGTTAGAGAGAGAGAGAGACAAGAAGGAAGGAAGGAAAAGAAAGAAAGAAAATAAGTGGGGGAGAAAGACACAAGAAGGAAGGAAGGGATAGAGGGAGAGAGAGAGGGAGAGAACTTATGATCACAATTGAGCCCAAAATTTTGGTTGCTAAGCAAGAGCATTGTTAATTTCACCACATTTTCCAACTTGGCCATGCCCACCCAGTCACATGACCCTCAAGCCACGCCCACCCAGTCACATGACCGTCAAGCCATTCCCACAAAACAGGCCACACCTACGGAATAGATTCTAAAAAAATTTGAAACCCACCACTGCTTACCATGCTACTGAAATAGTTACAACATCTTAATTATAATACAGGTTACATTACATTTGAATGAGTCTAAGCAGCTTTAGAATTTATTTTGCATAAATTACACAGCTTCTTCTCTGGAATCAGAAAAAGGGAGAAGGAGAAAGCGATATCCACTGAATTCGTAATCCTTTCCGAATCATGTAGTCTAGACCTGTGATGCTAATCCAATNTGCCTTAAAAAAAATTGTACTATTCTTTACATCTACTGAGGTCATCCTCAAAAGGCTTTTTTAAGCATCCATATTATTTGTTGAAAAGAAAGTTACAAAAAATTCTAACAGGAGTTCAAAGTTTATCCAGATAGGCATGATCTGTGGCTATTCTTCAGCTTTTAAGCATCAGCCATAAATTTTTCAAATAGTTTTAAAATGCTTTAATTAAAAGTGAATTAAAACACTGAGTTTTAATGTTTAATATCAATGTTTTTATTTATTGTTTTAATAATAATATTAGGACAAATCTTGAAGAAAGAGGAACACAAACGTATTAAAGAAACAGGAAATTTCTTGGAACCATACAGATCTAACAGTCTTTCCCAAAACATGATTTTTTAAATAGAAAAAAAAAACCTTGATTTGGTTCATTAAATAATAAACCTTTCCTGAAGGTATATGGAACGAGCATCTGGAAGAGTGTGAGCTTCTTCTCTTTGGGCCTCTGTTCAAAAGGAACCCAGCTGCCAAATCTCCCAGAAAGGCCTCCCTTTCACCAGCCTGGTGTGCCAAATACCTCTGTATTCCTCAAGGACTAATTCTTTATTTCTAATGATCCCATCAGTAGTTGACCTGTCCTGTATATTGTACAGTACATTTCCCTTATGCTGGTTGCTCTCATAATCTGTTTGTACAAGTGCCCTCCATAAAAGTTCATCCATCTTAACATCACATTATTTCTTTACAGACTTTGCAAAAGTAATTTAAATCCAAATTCTGGACACAGCTATTTGAAAACTTCTCTTTATTTCTGTAGAACATGCTCCTGGCTAAACCTGGGGGCACAATATTGAAAAAGTCTATTCCAATTATACTGTAATTGAGTTAAATTTGTAAACAGAACCTAAGCAGGTTCGGTGGGATTTATTTTGATATCAAATTTAAAAGTACAGCTTTAATCCTAGCATCCAGCTTTCTCTGCCCTTTTATCACAAGGTATGCTGTAATATATCCATATAATTTAGCTCTGTGAAACAGATCTGTAGTCCCATACCATAGGAAGGTAAGAGACCGGGAAAAGCTGCATTAATACTTTTTTTAAAAAAGGTACCATTTGGCAGCATTTATTTGAGATAAAGTAAAGAGTGTTTCTTGAGCTATAATTCAAGAACAAAGTCATGCAAGGAAGATCTGAAAGCCAGATAGGTAAACAAGATAAGTTAATTTATTTACATTGGTCTAGTGTAGTGGTAAGGGCTGAGGCCATGGGGTGAAAGATGGGAGATTTCCAGTTTCCCCTCCCAAAGACTCTCTACTCTGCTGGTCTGCCTTCCTGCTTTGGAACAGATGCTTGGTAATTTTACAGCAGCCACCAATCTTCTGCTTAGAATAGCGTTCTAGGTGATACTTTACCTTTTAACCTCAGGATGTGGGACATATAGGGAATCCTACAGTCTGTACTGACAAATCAAAGACAACAAGATTGAAAAAAGGGTGGGGGGAATTATATTGTACCTCCTATTATAAGTCTAGCACAAGCATTTAGCAACCATAATTGGGACTAACAATTTGGTCATTAAGGAGAGCAGTTAAA